CGCTGCGGGGGTGGGGGTGGGAGGCGCCGTAGCGGGGACGAGCGGACCCCCGACCCCGGCCGGACCCCGCTGGATCCAAACCCCCTGGGGAGCCTGCGGTGTGGGGTGCAGGGGCCACGGACAGGTGTGGGGCTCTCAGGTGGCGTGGAACGCCGTGCTCTGTCAGAACCGTTCAGCGCAGCGTCTTAGTGAACCAGAAGAGGAAATGAGGGACGTCTGGGTACCTGGTTGACCCGGTGGCTTCTTTGGCAGCTACTAAGAAGCCAGTTTACATGACCTCGTCCATGAAAAGGGAAAACCAAGGGCTTTCTTTCTCCATATGCAAAAGCTAAGGCCACTTCACCATATTTAAAATTAAAAGAAGCTCTCATTACAAAAGCAATAACTATTCATTGCAAAATAAAGTACAGTGGGGACATCTGTTGTCAGAAAGTCTACTGTTGACTCCTTGAAATACCTTGTTCCAAATGAGTTTTTTTCTGCTCTCATGCGCATACGCACACGTGCTTACAGTCATAAACACAAAAAATAACTTTTCACCTTCATATGTGCGTGATCGGCCCTCTCTGTTCTCTGTCAAACATCTAGAACAGTGCTCAGCGCAGTAGGCCGTAGTAAATACATGCTGAGTGAATTAACAGTTTCTAAAATGTTTGCCCCTTAGAGTAGATTGTAAACCATTTTGAAGCAATGACTGTTTATCCACGTCACTGTTAATGGCCAGAAGTATTTCTTCTAATTTACTTTCTAAGTATGGGAAAACATTTTATAACAAGAATCATAGTTTTTTGTAGGTTCCTTGGAGACTACAAAAAAATACGCACAGGAGAAAATCTGGTTGGAGAAGCACCCAGATGTTAATAGTGACTGTCCTTGAACTCAGGTGTTTTTTTTCTTGCAGCTTTTTTGTATTTTCCACAATTTCCATAATGCACGTGTTACGAAATTGTAATACCCATTATAAATATGCCATACGAATGCAAAGCATTTATGTGTAATAATATGGTATTTGTATGTAGTAATAGCTATTGTAAATGGTATTATCCTAAAATACCTGTATTTGTTCATTCGTCAGACTATGCTCCTAGAAGGACGAGTGTTTCGAGGACTTGCTCCTGCAGTTTCTCTCTCCACAGAATCAGGAAAGAGCGACAAGGAACTGCCACCAAATCCCAAGAAGCAAAGTCCACCAAAAAGTAAGATTTTCACAGTGGTCACAAGGGAAGAAGAACGCAAAGTAAATAAATTAGCTTCCCACGTATAAGAAGAAGTTTTATTAGCTACGTAATTTAGGATTCTTCCTTTTCAGCAGCATCCAGATTATAATCAGATGTCTATAAGATCTGTAACAAATTTTATAACAAACACATCAGTACTGTAACAGTCTTGGACTCCACATTTAGCCCTGGACTGGTTCTGTCTGTATTTTCTAAATGCCGAACTCTGAATTGGAGCCAGGGATGCAGAGTATAAAGGCTCGGTGGCATTTAGATGGCCCTACTACAGGTGGCCATACGCCGCGAGGTAGCCGTGAACCCCACCTTAGTTTTCGTCCCCTGATTGTGACTTTTTTCAGTATTTTGAGACTCATCTGGGGTTTCCGAGGCTTTGCTCGGCCACAGTCCAGGATTGCAGGATTGTTTTTGTGACTGTGGAAAGAGAGTTAAGAGCAGGCACCGTTTATCATCATGACTCACTTTAATGGAGCATGATGTCCGATCCGTTTCCAGCTTTTTCCACAGTCATTTTGACTTCTATCGAGTTTTTACTTTATTTCCCCCGCCCCGATACCAATGCAGCATACCCTCATTGAAGGAAAGTGGGAAATGCAACCGTTTCCTTTCTACTTCACGCCTTTTATTAATAATGGGTTATAATCTAGGTCCATTGCATCTAGTCTTAATTGATGAAGCCTTAGATAACTCTTAAAATTTAACGTATGTAGTATGTACAGTCTCATTGCAAATCTATAAGCTTCGTAGGGGGTTTAGAATGATTATTTGAGTTTGTCTTATTTTTATCATAACACCATTTCCTCAGTTTGAAAGTGTTTAGATTTTTTTGTCCCTCGTTGGTCTGCACACAGAAACATTGGCAGGTTATAAGATGTTGGCAGCCCCTTGAGAGTGCCAGCCCGCTGAGTGTCTCCCACGCCACGGGTCTCTACAGGAGACGCACCTCCCTGGTGGTGTCTTCAGCCCCTTGGACTGGAGGCCCGATTTCAACAGGAACATTATTTAATTCTGTCCTGTACCTGCCTCATTTTTAAATCTAGGGCTCTCTTTTTTTTTTTCTTTTAATCCATGAGTTTTAAAATAGGTTTCTTAAGCACAAGGTTTCCACTTCTCTTTTAGCCATAATACCATTATCACACCTAAAGCATGTCTACGAGAATGTCAGTTACATTTCGTATTGTGCCTGGCATGTTTCTGACATTTTTTCAGTGTTTACTGATGAATGTTACCTTTGCCCTGGTTAGTTTGTCTTACATGTGCAATCATACTTCGTAGGTTTATGAAATTGGATTAATGGATTTGAACATACCGTGGCAGAGCCAAAGGTGCCCCTTTTCAGAAACATGCTCGTGTGTGTGGGTGGAAATGAGCACTTCATTCCGTGACAGTTATGGGTGCAGTTATGAGAGTGGGGACACTGAGCCAGGAGGTGGCCTTGGGGTCATGTAGCTTCTGCCTCGGGATGCGGCAGGCCCTGCAGGCCTGTGGGTCCCAGTTCCTTCATGCCCCCCTCACTGGGTCCATGTGAGACAGGGTGAGAGGTGTGGTGCATGCACGTGCCTATGAATCTCAGGTGCTCTTAGGTGTGCAGTTTGCAGAACTACACTCTCTTTAATGCATGTGACACATGTATCTCAGAGTTTAAAAAATAGTAATTCCCTGTGTGAAGAAAAAGAAATAATACTTCTGAATCGATGTGTGCAGGCGTCAGCGTTTCCCCTGAAGTGTCAGGGATTGGTAAGCACAATCCCTGCACCCACAGAGGCATGTTACCTGGTTGAACCCACCAGTGGTGGGTGTGTTTTACTATGTTGGTCTTTCAAGGAAAGTCACTACCAAACTGCAGCATTGTAGTAGGTCGGCATGCTGCCACCAGACAGACGTAGGAGATTTCATGAAAACAAACAGGTAAAGTCATGCGTACGTTCAAAGTGAGAGCCATTGTTCTTCGACGTGACGGTGCCATCTTTCAGGGACATCTTTCCACACAACTGAGTGCAGACTTGGCATGGGCGCTGGCGCTTTGGGGCAGCACTCACTTCCTGGTGGCATCTACAGATCATCGTGGCAAGCTTCCTTTGAGTCCCACAGAGGACGCTGGGCCTGAGCTGCAGCCGGCCGGAAGTGGCCCTCACTAAAAAGCACCATGCGTTACTGTGGCTCAGCCTGCTGCCCCTCCCCCACCCCTCCCCATGGGCGTCCCCCAGCAACTTAGCATGATAGGCCAACTGCACAGCGTTCTTATTTCCTAGGCTAGAAGTTTCCTTTCCAGACAGGATTTCTAAATTATGTCCTTGTTAATCCCATTTGAAATTTTCTTTTCATTTTCAGTAGGTGATAAATCAACCTATAATATAATTTGAATAACTTATTTACAATTTAAAAAGTCATAACAAATTTGTAAGACTCAGGAAAATTTTTTTATTCAAAGCAGCCTTTCTAATAGCCTTATTTTAAGTTTTACCTTTTTTTAACTTTTTTTCCGCCCAGCACCCTACCCTGCTGCTCTCTGGCAACCATCAGTTTGTTCTCTGTGTCTAGGAGTTTGTTTCGTTTTGTTTGCTTGTTTGTTAGTTTTCTTTTTAGAGTTTTCATATAAGTGAAATTATATAGTATTTGTCTTTGTCTGACCTATATCGCTTAGCATAACGTCCTCTATGTCAATCCACGTTGCAAATGGCAAGATTTCATTTTTCTTTTTATGGCTGAGTAATATTCTATTTTATGTATATACCACATCTTCTTTACCCAGTCGTCTGTCAATGGACACTTAGGTTGCCTTCATATCTTGGCTATTGTACATAATGCTGAATGAACACAGGGGTGCAGATAGCTTTTCAAATTAGTGTTTTCATTTTCTTTGGATAAATACCCAGAAGTGGAATTGCTGGGTCATAAGGCAGCTCTGTTTTTAATTTTTTGAGGACCCTTCGTACTGTTTTTCATAAAGGCTGCACCAATTTACATTCCCGCCAACAGTGCACGAGGGTTCCCTGTTCTCCACATCCTCGCCAACACTTGTTATTCTCTTTTGATAATAGCGATTCTGAGGTGTGAGGTGGTATTTCATTGTGGTTTTGATTGCATTTCTCTGATAATTAATGACGTTGAGCATCTTTTTATATACCTATTGGCCATTTGTGTGTTCTCTTTGGAGAAATGCCTATTCAGGTCTTCTGCCCGTTTTTTAATTGGATTGCTTGGGGGTTTTTGATGTTGAGTTGCATAAGTTAATTTTTCATACTTGGAAAGTTTATGCTCAACATAAAAATGGATTGATTAATGATCCCGGTGAGCAGGCTGTCGGCGTTTGGAGGCCAGCACATCTTACCCGTTGCTGTTGGGGTTTCTGAGCGGTATCAGATACAGTGTAGAGAGACAGGGAAGGAAGCGTTCAAGTGTGTATGTGCTTCTCTGTCTCGTTTTTCTGCTCACCGTGGTCCTGGAGCTCCGTGGGTCAGGAGAGTCACTGCATCAGCACCTGCTCTGAGGGTCATGCTGAGTGGGCTGGCGTGGAGCCACAGGATCAGGCGTGGTGGGAGGAAGTGGTGGTGGAGGTGGAGGACGTGACAGCTGAAAGTCCCCCACGCTCTGTGTTCAGTCGTGCCCTTGCACACTGCTCGTGAACCCCTCTGGCCCATCTCTAGTTTTTGGCTGTTCCTCCTTTTTTTTTTTAATCATTTTCTGTCATTCTGTTTTATGTGGGTCCCTGAGTTCAGAAAATAATTAAAAAGATTTTGGATACTGATAAGATAGTAAAGCATTGTTTCCACTTTATAGAGAAGTAAGACTGAGATCTTTTTAGTGTGAAATAGCAGAAGATAGACTGCTAGACTTGAAAATAAAGACTGGGTTTAGAGTTTGCTCATTTGTAATATTTTTTTAAATTTTGCTTTAGATTTGAAAAGTAATTTTAATTTATAAAAACTTGTCCTATATTTTTCTTCTAATCTGTATGGTTAGAGAAGATTTTCCACCTGAGAAAATTGAAATTAGCTCTAATCAATGTTCTGTGTGATTTCATGTTTTCATAATTGACTTTACAAAATGTGAGGCTTTTGTGTTGGTACTATTCTGTTTATTTTTTACAGTTTAAAACCTGTTGTTTCCAATGATGTATATATGATATTAAATTATTGTAGACTTTTTTGGCCTTGCAATCCTTTTACTTTCCTTTGCTGAAGACGTCCCCAAATGGCTTGTGATTTGGAAGGCCTTCCTTCCTCTCAGAGCAGCTACATGTGAACGACACCATCCCGACCCCACGTCAAACGCACGCGTGTGCGCTCCCAGCCCCAGCAGGCTCCTGTCTCTGCTTTTGCTGTGCTGCTTTGTTCGGAAAGTTCAAGTTCATACGATAGGGATAACTCTTTTAATATTTGAGAAGCACCAGTTTTTTAGAGATCTAAGAAATTATACATTTGTAATTTATTTTACAAACTATACATTTGTAATGAGATGACTTCAACGGTCATTTGAAAATATCTTTTATCGTTTATCTTAAATTTGGATGAAAGAGTAGTTTAAAAATAATTATCATCAAAGAAGCGCTCATGAAAAATAGAGACAAGTTTGTCACCTCTGTTGTTAAAAGTCCTCGTTTTTAAATTTTCCAGATCCAGAGAAAAGCATCTACGTTTCTTCCTGTTCTCTCGTGGCGTGTCTTTCCCTTAAGAGTGGGTTTCCACAGAACATTTCTAAGGATGATTACATTGAAGATGTTATAAATAACAAGCTGGTATTTGATGAAATGTCTGTGACTGTGATGACTCTACATTGTTTTACTACATGTTAAAAACCATGTTCTTCTTTATGCCGTTTCCTAGATGTAGTGGAACCAAACAAGAAGGGCAAGCTACTAACCACCCCAGCAGCAGCCGAATTGTCTAAAAACGTAGCTTCACCCAGTTCTTACTCGTCAGTGGTGAATCGCGGTAGGACAGTAGCTGGCCCTAGTGACAGCAGCCCCAGTGACAACGTGCAGTTTACAGATGCAGGGCTTCCAGCGTTTTTGTCAAGAAAGACTTTGGTAGAGTTTCCTCAGAAAGTTCCACCTTCATTCGAAAAGCAGGGTTCCGAAGCTCTTGGGAAGAGCAGGAAAGGGACGAGCAGTTCGTCTTCATCGTCGTCTTCATCTTCGTCTTCGTCCAGCTCCTCTGATTCAGAGTCTGACGAGGATGGAGCTGGCTCAAAAGTTGATTCCCAGGTGACGAGCACAGGCAGAGGAAAGGGTCCAAAACCAGGGGCCTCCCGTGCCTTTGAAAACAGAGCGCCCCAAATTTCGATATCTGCAAAAGAGAAGACCTGGTCCCCGCAGCCACATCTGGACCTCCCCTCTCCAGAGAAGCCCCGTCAGACAAAGAAGAAGGCGACCCCCACTAAGCCATTAAAGGACAGAAAAGACACTGAACCAAAACCCACGGTACCCAAGTCACAAGTAGATGAAGAGTTGCTAAAGCAAACTGTAAAGGAAAAAAAACTGCAGAAAGTATTTAGGTCGAATAAAATAGAGAAAGAAAGCCAAGAGCCATTTGAAGTTAAAAAAACCTCATCTGACCATACAAAATCGGGATTGTCTGCACAACCGAAGGGCGGCCTGATGCCCCCTCAACTGACAGAAGAAGTCACCGCAGGAAGATGGCTGCAAGCGACTCCTCCTGAGACCAGGGGGAGACGTCCAGAAGACCAAGCCCCCGACCCTGATGGGGACATGGCTTTTCCCCTATTCAAAAAAGAGAGCTTGGGGAAGCAGGTGATAGAAGGAACCTTGAAGGCTAAAGAAGGGACTTTGGAAGATCAGGGATCAATAAAAAATCTGAAGCCAGTTCCTGTTCAGAATAAAGAAGTTTTTGAGGAAGAGATCCCAGTACTGAAGCTTGAGGCAAAGGGCGGAACCACTGAGGACGCAGCGAGCCAGGTGGACGAGCAGGCCAGCGCCCAGGGTACATGCCTTGACTGTTGAGCGCTCTCCTTGTCTTTGGGGTGGTTACACTGGAGACCTGTAGGGTACCAGCAAGTGTTACGTTAGTCACAGCAGCCTAGCACAGCCCAGGACACCCTCCGATAAGCAGAGGCGTCTGTCCTAAGTACGAATAATACAGGCTCTCTAAAACGTTAAGTTTATTGTGCTATGATTTACTGACACCCTGAAAACTGGCAGTGTAACATCATCACCCTTCATTTTCGGGGGTGTGCCGGTGTCCACTCCCTGAATTGCAGCGCCCTGAGCAGGGGGGTCCTGTTTGAGTCTCATGGGCGAAGGGCCGTAGCCACACTTGGTCTCATGTCCCCAGGGGAGCTGACGGGATTGCTCTGAGCGTCCTCACGCGGAAGGGAAGCCCACATGTTAGGGCTTAGTGGTAAGTGGCCGGAGGCAGCGTGGGGTGCCCGAGCCCTCGCCGGGTGTTTCCTCCTCCGTTACCTGGGCCGCTTTATGTTAAATTTATTTGGAATTTTTATGAAGGGCTTTTTTGCAACCCCAGCTTTTTCAAGGGAAACCAAGTAGTCCTCTTACGTTACCATTTTCTTGGCGCAGTGAACTTGATAAAATCAAATTTTAGGGAGGTCATGGCAGGACAGTGAAGGAGGTCCCCAGTTTAGGGATGTGTGGCTCCCCGAGACGTCTTTCAAATGCATCACTAACAAACCCAGCCCCTTCCCATCCACTCTTCATTCTTTTCAAGCCTCCCCTGTGCCTGATTTGCGTTACCTGGCGGTTATTGTCATTGTTGTGTTGTGTTATGTTGACATCATTTGTGTGTTTTTTCCTCCATTTCTCCGTCTGTCATTAACTCGCCAAGTGCCAGCGTTTACCAGACTCCTCAAGACCTCGAGAACTGCATTGCTGACCCCGTTTGGGTCATTCTCCTGGAAGAGGGAGAGGAATACCAAAGCCCCCAGGAGAAAACAGAGAACTGGGGGTGTCAGATCACAAACCTTTTTGAAAACAATGTGCTTCCAATTTTTTATGAATTTGTGATTTTTCCAGTATTCTCCTTGCCCTTCGGAGGCTAAAGAGGCTCAGGGGCTGTGTCTATGTGGGGGATTGAGTGTCACCATGTCCACGCAGCCCTGTGCCTCCCCGGTGGACCGTTTTTGATAAGTTCTCTAGACACACGTTCCCCGTGCCTGTGTCGCCTTCTGTACCGACTGTAATACCGTCTTTGTGAAGTCTCCACACACATCGGAGACACGCCACTCACTGATTGGAAAGATGGCAGCTCTTTAAATAAGAGATCAGTTTTGTTTAATACAACAACAAAAACTTTTGGTATGAATTCAAATAGCGGAAAACGTATTTAAGTTCTCTCTTGTGCAGCCTGAGTAGAAGTTGAGAGAGCTCCGGTGACAGTTTAGGGTCAGTAAGGACTTCACCCAAACTTTAGCCGCCACCCCACGCGACCGTTAGCCTGCCGTCGTTTCACGTGGCACCCTGCTGCAGGAGAGCTTCAAGCACGCTCTAGTTTTCAGGTTCCCAGATGTCTAGGTGGATGGCTCTTCATTCTTTTTCCCACTGAAAGAAGTAAAGGTAGATTAGTACTTTTTAGTCTATGAATCTAAAGTATAGCAACAGCTTTTTCAAAAAAGTTACACATCTACACATCTCATTTCCGGTTCCCCTTAACTGTGTTGTTATTAAAACAGTAGGAGTTTATTTAACTTTCTTGTATTCGGAGACAGTCTCTGTTTTTGAAAATTTTCTTCAGTAAAATGTTTATTTTCGTTTTAGACAGATTCTTAAATAGATCTCTTTTTTTTCTGCGTCTGTACCCGACCTGAAAGTCCCTCCATAATGTTCTGGGCACATTCAAAGTTCTGGCGGTTCCGAGGCCTAGAATGAACGTACGAAAGACGATGTTAAGACGCACTGTCACAGTGATTCCATTCCCTACGTCTTAAGGCTGCGTGTTTTAGAGGAAATTTTCAGCTAATTCCTTCCTTTTGCTTTTGAAGATGCTGTTGCTCTCATGGCTTTTCTTTTCTACTTAGACCCTTACTCACACCAGGTGGGGGTGTGAGGGATGCTTGGTGCGTGGGGAACGCAGCAGCCCGCTCCTTGCCGTGTGCTCACGCGTGTGCTTCCCCCACAGAGCCCGCACAGGCCGCCGCGCCCCCCGAGCCCTTCGACAACACCACCTACAAGAACCTGCAGCACCATGACTACACCCCGTACACCTTCCTAGACCTGAACCTGAACCTCGCCAAGTTCAGGCAGCCTCAGCCCTCCTCCGGACGGGAGTCCCCTCGCCACTGAGGACTCGGCTTAAAGGTGACCGTCCGTCGTCCGTCTGCTGCAGTCTTGCCTGTGAAATAAAGTCTGCTCCAGTCATGAGGCCTGGCGTGTGCGATGGCTTTCCTTTTACACCCTCACAGCGAATGGTCACCTAGCAGCACCGCTACTGTTCGTTTATTCACATGGGCTTAGAAAAACATCTGCGCAAAGAGGTTTTCTTTAAAGTTAGGGCTCACTGGACACCCATAAAATGAGCGCATGTAGGGGCTTTCTCGCAGTCGTTCTGTGTGGATCCCCTGGTCACTTGAGCATTAATGTGGGTTCCCAGCGAGGTGCTGACAAGTGGGATGGTGACTTCTAATTTTGTAGACCTAGTTCTTTGTAAATTAGGAGTAGGGGTTTTGCTAATTTTAACTACTGCTTTGCAAAAATGTTCTAATAGTATTTTATTATCAGAGAAGGAACAATTCTTTTGTGCACTTGAGTGAGGTATTTGATGTACACGCAGAAGTTGTCTGTGGTGGGACTGCGGAGGGTGGAAATTTATGGGGGCCCATAGATGGGTGCAGCAGGCAGCTGATGTAGCTACGCTGACCGAAGAAGCTTCCGTCACTCAAAAGTGTTCGGCGCCGGGGCGTAGCCAGTGCATCCTGTGGACCAGGCGCCCTGTGGGACAACGGAAGCAGCCCCCTCTGAGAAAGGAACAAATCTAGATGAGACTGCTACTGATTCCGGGAGCTCGGGAAAGAAATGTAGAGGAGAGATTTGGGCCATCCATTCGGGCCACATGTCCTGGCCTGAAGGAGGACATCTGTGCGTACAGGACAGTGTCGTGTTTGGCTTTGTCCCCACTCTTCCCTTTATGGGCTTTTACTTCATCTCATATGAATTCTGGTCTTTGGCTTCCAGTCAACTTACAGCAAACAGTGCACTGGATTTATAACATGATTTCCCACTTCTGTTATTCTGCATTTCTTAAAATTAGTCCAAGTACAAATACCGAAATTGAAAACAGAATTGCCAACTAGCATTATGATTGCCTCAGATTTTTCTTACCACCCAAGAGGCTTAGGGACTCAGCAAGATTCTTCTAAATCACATTTTTTATTAGAAAACTACTCAGACCGCATTACCAGAAAGAAAATAGAAAATAGTGGTTCCCTAAGGCCTCCATGGTAACCCAGCTACTACTAACATTTTATGTGTTTCCCCAGGGGTGGCGGTCCTAGGCGTAACCAATATTATGTACATACGCTTTTCTATCCTTCAGTAGCCTGTTTGTCAAAGTGTGGCCCACGGAACCCCTGTGATGTGTGGGGGTACATGGGGCGGGGTATTGGGAAATAGAATATGAAGCCACACAGTGCATTTCTCTGGACTGCTAATGCCACAGAGTTGAAATTCTTTTTATGTAAAAACAGGTATAAATATGTTTTAATTTGTGACGTTTTCCCTGGGAACCAGTCCTGTGGACTGTTTCTGTCTCCCTGGGACTGGTCCCCACTCTTCCGCCCACTGAAGAGGCTTGAAAAGCAACAATAGGCGGTGCCAGGCCATCTGCATTCTGGGCCCCTCGTCACTAATGACTCCTTGATGTCCCCATCTGGTGTCAACACGATGGTTGCCCACCAGCGTGGTTTGGGGTTTGTGTTATTTCCCATGTCCTCTCGAGGAGTGCTACCAGAAACAGCTGTGTGACTATAACTCGCTTTGTATTTCGTATTGTCTTCCTCACGATGGATTTCGAGAAGTGGATCTGACGCATCACATGTGGTATGTGAACACTTGCTTTCATTGTCGCAAGATTTGAGTACAATAAGGTACACAATTAGGTTATGTCTTAATAGTCCCCTGTCACCTGAGCATCTTCCTAGGCATGCATTCTCTTACACCTGTCACGTAGCTCCCCAGGGACTGGAGGAGAGTGTGTGTAAACCCCAGCTCACTGCGGGTTCTTGCCCTGACGTTTACTGGCAGCTGGCTAATAACGAAATCAGATGCTCGCAGGGTTTTCTGACGCCGCTTCCAGGCACGTGCTTTGTGTTTTAATACTTTCCGCCCTACTGCCTGTCTCTCAACCCACACTTGGAACCCTGGACTGCGTGGTGGCTCCCAATTGAACACCCAGCGCTGCATGACCCTGGCCCGGACCTCACACAAGGCCGAGGACGCAATCCAGGGGCTGTAGAATGAGTTCAGCGACTCCTCGGAATTGACTGCACCCTGCAGGGACGGTGCGGGGGACCTAAATGCTGGAATCCATGTGCTCAGTGACAGCAAGGGGAGGCGAACTTTTTCTGTAAGGGACCAGATAGTAAATATTTTTGGCTTTGCCACATACACACAGTCAGCATCGCACAGTCTTTTCTTTAATCCTTTTAAAATGTTAAAATCATTCTGAGCTTGTGGACCTTACAAAATAGGCAGAAAGTGCTGTTTGTCTGAGGGGTGCAGCTTGCTGACCCCAGTATTAAACAGGTGGCCACAGATCACTGAATTTCATGGGCAGGCTGGCCAGAGAGAAGACAGGGAGTGGTGTGCTTTAGGTGCGTGGTCAGCTGGCTCCACCGCCTTCTCTCCCTGACCGTTCTTTCCTGTCCTCGGTTTTATTCTAGGAGGATCTGAAACAGCGTCAGGATATAAAAAATTAACAGTGATGTTCCTTCCAGAGCCATTTTCACTCTTACAGGCCTGTGATAAACTTGCAAATGTCTCCTGAATGCCAGGCCTAGGCTGGGGCTGGGGCTTCAAAGGCGATAAAGACAGCCAGCCTCTCCTGAGGAAGGAAAAGGGAGGGAGGCACGCGAAAAGCATCGCCAGGTAGCGTGCTGCGTCCCCTGACAGAAGGGTCATAGCAGCAGTGGACTGACGGGGAGAGGTGAAGGTGGCTGGCCATCAGAGAAGGCTGTGTGGGACATGGCGTCTCACCCAGATGTTGGAAGATGACCAGGAACTCAGCAGGCACATGGTAAGATGGTGGAGGGGGCCCTGGAGGCCTTCAGGGCATCAGGATGGGTCCATGCAAAGGCCTGGACGCTGAAATGGCAGTTGATTTACAGGGAACTAAGGCCTTTGATGTTTTGAAGGCTCCGTGAGAGGGGACACACCAGACTGAGTCAGTGTTGGGGTTGATCACGTGGCTTGGACTGTGTCGGTCAGCTCGGGCTGCCGTATCAAAATACACAGGAGTGGCTTAAACAGCAAAGCGATCGTCTCTCAGCGCTGGAGGTGGGGAAGTCCACAATCTAGGTGCTGGCGGATTTGTTCCCTGGTGAGAGCGCTCTTCCTGGCTTGCAGATGGCCGCGTTCTCCTAATACCATCGCACTGGGGACTGGGGCCTCAATATATGAATTCTGGGGGACAAACATTCAGTCTGGCAGGCTCTACCACGTTAGGAAGAGAATTTATCCTGTTTTCTAAAACAACCAAACTGATCATTTGTTTGGAATACTCTGACCAAAAAAAGGGTGGAAGGGGCTGGCAGCATGAGAGGTGATAAAAAAAAAAAGTGAAATGTGGATTGAGACTGGGTGAAGGGCACGTGGAAGTTCATGATTCTGCTCTAACTTGTCAAGTGTTTGGGAACTTTCATACCAAGAATTGTTAAAACCAGTACTATGTAGAATAAAGCTGGGAAGGAGACACTGGACATGAGGAAGCCGGTCACTTTGCAGTCCCCCAGGCAGAGGGACGGCGCTGCCCTCCAGGTGGCTCCCGGCCGGGTGGCCAGGTGGCTCTTGGAGACCCTGACAGACAGCCAACCCCGTCCCGAAAGGTCAATCCCGTTTACAGTCATGCCAGCAGCTGAGGAACGCGCCTGCCCCTCACACGCTTGGCAGCAGGAGGCATATCACCCGTCTCTGATGTTTGCTCAGCTGATAACTTGTCTCAGGTGTGGGTGAGTATATCTTCCCTTCAGGCTGAAACGCATAGAGCAAGGTGCTCTGATGGTGACCAGGTGTCTCTATTTTTTTCTGTTTGTTTGAACATCGCACCACAGCGAGCTCACTTTTGTCTGTCTTCTACCTGCCTTTCTGAGAGGATGTGTCACCTACAGCCCTCCGCGGGAGAAAAAATAGCAGTGAAGCCCTGCCAACTAGGAAATCATTGACATGGAGAGCCTGGTCAGAGGAGTGCGTGGCCGCGGGATGTATTTGCATGTGGAACTAAGACGGAACAACGAGGTAAAATCGCAGAAACCGAAGTCCCTGGAGACAGGTGCTGGGCGCGGAGGCGGGGCAGCCTGGGAGGGACCCAGCTCACTTTTCAGGGCAAGTTGGTGGCGCTGTCGAAAATAGAAGCAGGACTCAGAGAGCCGTGACTGCCCCACGGTTCTCCGTCTGCTTCTTGACTTTAGTGGGATTTACTAGGAACCGGTATCTTTTGGGGAAAAAAAACGTGTATCTGAAGTTTAGAAATCCCTTCATGTTTTACTTTAATTTCTTTTTAACTGTTAAATTTAATAATTTAAGGTATAATGTAATGCTTTGTATTTTTTAAAGGGTCAAATTGGGTTCCTTTATGTCTGACAGATTTTTGTACGGAAAAGACTTTTTATAAATTGATATTTTTTAAAGTTTTAAAATGTATTTTAAAATTTAAACAAAATTTTAAATTAAAGCTTGAAAACATGTTTAATATTCAGTCTTATTAAAAAACTAATTTTTCTTAAAGCCTTTCTTTACAAATCTTATTGATCTATTTAGAAGTCATATTTTTCCAATCACTTCTAAACTTAAAAAAATGAAACTATTGGACATGCAACTCTTAGTGAGATGTACTGGAACGATCCTTTGCAATTAGTTTCTATAGCCATGAATGAATATTGCTTAATGCTAGAAGAGTTCAATGAAAATTAACAGCCACAAAAAGGAAAGAAAGTCAGGGCCAGCCTAGTGGCTCAGCTGGTTAAGAGCTTGCTCAAGAGTGTGAGCTCTGAGCAACAAGGTCAGGGGTTCAATTCTCAGCCTGAGCTGAGCTGCCGCTGAGCTGCCAACAGGTGGCAAGATGGCTCAGCTAAAAAAAAAAAAAAATGAAAAGAAAAGAAAGTATAGAGCACTACCAGGGATGAATTTGGATTTGTGGGGCCTAAAGCTTATA